ATGAACCTGACCTATACCTCAGAGCGGCAGTTACTCTAAATACCGACAGGGAAAGAGTCTTCACATCAAGTATCAGTGCTATCTGCTCTGTATACAGGGTAGATAGGGATGGGCAACTTAGACACTGGCTACCTAAAATGAGGGGGCAATAAAGGCACGAAGTGACTGGCTTACAAGGTTTCAAGAGGAAGTTTACTTTAAGAGTATGGGGGGTGAGAAAGAATCCTCACTGAATAGCTGCCATCTTGTCTAGATGGGTCTGGAGAAAAGAGATGGGGTTAAGATTCATAAGATTCAATAGTGAATAATTGTTATCATGACTAATCGCAACTGTCACAATTGTAAAGTTTTGTAACAAAAACAAGGGAGTGGTTAATCTTACAGTCCAGAAACAGAGGACCCTAGGACCATCAAGAGAGAAGTGCACAAGCAGAATGCAGGACCTTATCAAGAGAAGCCAGCAGAGCCAGAGATGGGGGCATGGAGAGGGGGAGTGGCTGAGGACTCTAGATTCAAGGACCAAGAGGAGAGGGACTAAGAGCTGGTGGCCAGGAGCAGACTTGCAGAATGTGTCCTTTGAAGACATACATTATTATATATGCCTGAGTGGTATTTTTGTTTGTTTTTTAAAAAGCTAAAGTGGATAGAGAGAAATACTGTTACCTGATGGTATATAGAGGGGATTATAATCAATGTAATGAAACAAGGTGTATGATTTGTTGAATGTAAAACTGATGATATGCCCTGTAAACTTTCACTCAATCCACAATAAAAACCTTAAATTAAAAAAATACATATCAATACTTCCTAAAAGCCTCATAAATTAAAAAAAAAAAAAAAGATAATGTAATTTTCCCACAAACTTTATGGAAATTCTGGCAAAGAGTGAGGCCCCTTGTTTAGTCAATTCTGAAGCAATATCAGAGCATCTTTCTTACCTTGTTTCAAAAAGATGCTAGTCTTCTCTATGGGACTATGTCTCTGTCAATCAATTACAAGCTGTCTAGACAGATTTCACTAACAGTCACAGCTATGCAGAGTTGCTGAATTGGAACTAATGCCAAGGTACGTCACCAGACTACAAATCACAAAGCTGACAACAACAACAGGAGTCTTGGTAAAGTGCTGTAGGATAACCAATGGGCTTGCTAACTGCAAAGTCTTTGGTTCAAACCCACCAGCTGCTCCCTATGAATTGTAACAGACTCCATGGCACTTAATAAAAGCATAGGAAGGAACAACCAACCAAATATGAGAAGGGTAAGACAAAAAGAATTGGTACTAAGGTTCCAGTTCATACATGCATGTGCTTATTTCAAATAACATACGTTTTGACACATCAGTGGATGACTGCAGCTAAATTCTCTCAGTAATCCATTAGTCTTAGTCTTGGTAGGGTGCATTGGGGAGAGGGAGGAAAGGTGCAATCAGAAGAGCAGTTCTAGGATTCTAAGGGGATCTCCTGAGCCAGTTATGCAGAAATCAGCTTTAGGAGGTACAAAGAGATAATGTTGATAGATTTTCTTGATGGTTACAGGATGATCACAGTGACTTAACAGGAGACAGTATTAAGAAAACTAAAAACTGCATTGTGAGAAAATGGGCAGTCAGGTTGCGCAGAGGAATTTTTCCCCATCCCTAAAACAATGCACCTGCTGCTCATTTTCCTAGGGTAGTAAGGGCTGTCCTCTGAGAATCTCCTTAGAAAACGTTACCTCATCTGCCCTATAGCCTTCATCTGGCCTCTTTTGACTTCATTGTGTTCCGATCTTGCGGTTAGCAATCCAGCGCTTAGAGAAATGGAAACACCACCTTCGGAAATGCTTGTTGTTAAGTGAGCGCCGTCGAGTCCATTCAGACTCAGAGCGACCCCACATAGGGTTAGGGTTTTCGAGGAGTGGCTGGTGGACATAACTGCCAACCTTGTATAAATCCAATGCTTATCCTACAGCGTCAAACCAGTTCTTTTTAAGAGCTGTCGAGTCGGTTCCAACTCAAAGTCTCCAAAGCTGTAAATCTTTGAAGGAACAGTAAGCCTCATCTTTCTCGGTTGCACAGACCCACCAGAGGAAAGACAAACCCAGAAACAATACCTTCTTCACATGTTGCTATTTTTGCTTAATGAAGATTCCTATGGTTTTGTAGCATTAAAAGAAACTGAAAACTAGATGAGGTGCAATTTATTTCACACGCTTTAACTACTTCAATTTTCTATCAATTCTAATACTACACGGGTATTATTACCTTCATTTTACTTGAGAGAAAAAAGAGGCCAGTCAGCTAATAAGGGGTGAAACCAGGATTTGAACTCCAGCTCAACCAAGAGCCCGGTCCCCGGCTACCGCGCAAAAGCAGCACCTCTCTTCCGACCCCGCTGTGGGCAGCGCTGGAAACAGCCTCCTCCTTACCCCGCACGGTTCTCGTCTCCCGGCGCCAATGCTGCCAGAACTCACCCTCGGCGCTGTCGCGGGTCTGGTGGAAGTCCTCGGAGCGACCGTCGCGAAAAGCACGGCAAAGAGAAAGGCAGAGGAAATCTAGCATCCAGCCGGCGGCCACGGTCTCGGCCTCGGCCACCAAGTCGGCGTCCTCCTCCTCTTCCAGGTTCCCCATCTGCGCCTGACACTCGAATTGCTGCTCCCTGATATCTCCTGCAGTTTCTGCCACCCGCTCCTCTGCAGTATCCGCATCCTTTCCATCCGCACATCCCCGAGAGCTCAGAAACTGTAAGTTTGCATCCTCCGCCATGTTAAACAGCTCGCGCGGGTTGTCGACTCTCAGACGCCGAGCGACGATAGGTTCGTGCTTAGGGCGCGAGACATGGCGGCAGGATTCTTCCGGTGAGAAGCGACCAATCACACTGCGAGGACGGGTACACGGCTAGAGCCTAGCTTTCTGATTAGCCAAGACTTGAGCGTTCCTCACCAGCAGAGAGCTTTGGCTAGCGACGGAGAGGTGGAGAAGTGAAGGAACTGAATTAACCCCGTTTTAAATTGCTGCAATGTACCGGCAACCTGATTAGTTAAAATAAGGGACGCATTTGAAACCTGCTGTTATTGTTGTTAGGTGCCCTCGAGTAGGTTCTGCCTCATAACGACCTTGTATAGGGTTTCTGAGGCAGCAGAAAAATCTCATCTTTCCCTCGCGCAGTGGAGTCTCGAATTCCAGACCTTATGGTTAACGGTCCAGCGCGCCACCACACTCTTAACTCTCCTGAAAGAGTATTTCAGTCCAGGTCTGAGATAGACTAGAGAATGCAGCTTGTACAAAAAGTGAATGCTTATTTTGAATTTTTAAACCTTAAACCTGAGCGTGGAGTCCTGGTGTGGCGCAAAGGGTTCATGCGCTGGACTGCAAAGTTTGAATCGCAAGGTCGAGAGTTCAAGCTCACCAATCGCTCCTTGGAAATCCTATACAGGGTCGCTATGAGTCGGAACTGACTCCAACAATAATGATGTTTGGCGGGCATCATTCACAGGTTAAAGGGCAGACATGTTAACAGGAGTGACAGGTCAGGTAATATACCACAAGAGGAGGGTAACAGCGGAAAGATGAAGGTAGCAGCAGACACAGGAATGACATAGTTAAGTACTGTTAACTGTTGGTACATGGTGGTGATAACAATCACTGTAATGAAACAAAGTATATGATCGGATCTGTAAACCTTCACTCAATTCACAATACAAAGTTTTTATTTTTGTATTTTTTTTCTTTTGAGCAGAAAAGTTTTACTCCTTTTAATGACAAACAAACCACATCCAAGGCCGTAACTTACAGACAAACCAAAGTAGACGTTGAAAGCATTAGTTATTAAGATACAAGACATACAATAGGGATCTGGGGGGAATGCTTCACTATTAGAAGCTTACACCAAACCTTGCTGGAATCAACAGTGGGTCTCTGTTAGTAGCGTGGGTGTGGCTGAGAGTAGGTGTGTTCCTGCAGAACTGAAGAACAGCTGTGCTTTACAATGACAGAAGCATTTTAGACTGCACTGGTATGGAACATGTTTTCATGTTGAAAGGAAGTGGGAACCAGCTCCCTCCCATAGGGCATTAGGCTGCCTTGCAGAGGGCCATGGAGGAGAAGCGTACCTTCCTTTTCTCACGTTCAGTGAATTCTCTGCAGACTTTGGCTGCATCCTGCAGTAGAGACTCCTCTGAACTGGAGCCAGGGTTCACTGGAAAAGGCATCCGACCATCTAGTTCATAGAGGTTGCCATCCACGTTGTTAAACAGAATAAAGTGCAAGTTTACGTTGTCATCGACCCAGCACTGGCCCTCCTGAACCACAGCATAATGGACTGCCTGGATGGCCCCGTTCTTTTCAAAGCATTTTCCTGTCTTCAGGGGACATTTCCCTGTTTCAGAAAGAAAAAATTTCAGGACTGACCCATTCTCGAATGCCAGTTTGTCCAGATTATTGGCCACAGGAGTTCCCAAGGGTCTGCTTCATAAAGTACACATAGGGCTAATGTCTTGTCCCTTCAGTTCTTCAATCTGTTTTTTCCTAAAATTCTCATGCTGAGCAGTGAGTGGAAAGAGCAGCAACAGCACGCAGGCAGGCTCTGGTACGGAGCCCAGCAGTCTTTCAACCCCAGCATATTCAGGAAGCACCACTGGCCGGCAACCCCCAACTGGACCAGCGCTTTGTTCAGCATCTCTGAGTGAATCTCCATCATTTTGAGCTGCATCTTTGAGAACAGCAAAAGAAACCACAACCTAGATGAAAACAACTTGGAGCCGCCCAGGCTGCCTCAATAAACCACCAGCCGGACGCATTGTAGGGCCATGCAGTCTCACTAGCTGATGAGATAATCTGCTGCTGGTGGCAATGACAGAGCTGGGTGACCGTTCTTTGAATGTATTGCGCAGTCTTAATTTTTTCAAAGTTTGCTTTTTTTTTTTTTTTTTTAAGAATATAAGCATGCTAAGGTTGTTAAGTGCCTGCGAATCAGTTCCAATTCATGGAGACCCTGTGTAGGGTTTCCAAGGAGCACCTGGTGAGCTTGAACCACCAATCTTGAGGTTCAAACTGACCTTACAGTTCAGTACGTATCTTATAGTACCACACCAGGACTCCAACAACCATCATTGTTGTTGCTGTTATGTGGAGTTGGTTCCGACTCATAGTGACCCTGTACAGGGTTTCCGAGGCTGTAAATCTTTATGGGAGCAGAGCGCCTCATCTTCTGCCACGGAGCAGCTGGCAGTTTCGAACTGCTGACCTTAAGGTTCACAGCCTGATTCGCTACCAGAGAACTTAACAACCATCATAGAATGTTTCTTTTATCAAGAAAACCTTTTCACAACATTGGTTTCATATTTATTTCTGTGATGAACTATTTTCACTTAGCATAATGCCCTTCAGGTTCATCCATGTTGTGAATAAAACATCTTTATTCTTCAATGTTTTGTGGTGTTCCATTGTGTGTATAAGGAGCTCTGGTAGCGTAGTGGTTACGAATTGGGCTGCTAACCTCAAGGTTGGCAGTTCGAAACTACTAGCAGTTCCGCGGGAAAAAGATGAGGCGTTCTGCTCCCGTAAAGATTTACAGCCTCAGAAACCCTGTGCAGGGTCACTATGAGTCGGAATCGACTCTACAGTACTTAACAACAACAATAATTGTGTGTATATGCCAAGTTTGTTTAACTATTCTTCTGTTGATGGGCTTTTAGGCTGTATGCATCTAATGTACTGTTGTTGTTGTTAAGTGCCGTCGAGTCGGGTCCGACCCATAGCGACCCTGTACAGGGTTTCCGAGGGTGTAAAATCTTTACGGGAGTAGAAAGCCTCATCTTTCTCCCGCGGAGCGGCTGGTAGTTTCGAACTGCTGACCTTAAGGTTCGCAGCCCGATTT